ATGACATTTTAATTAGTGAGCTTTAAAAGTGCTGGTAGGCAGATTTTTCCCCCCTTCAGAGACAGGCTATCTAGCCGAGCTAACCATCACCTGGCTGTAGCTTCATATTTCCTGTACAGAATGAGAGTGGTGGAGCTCTCATCTAACAAAGTGAATGTGACGTATGTTTCCCAACTGCCAATCTAATCTAGTCAATAGTTCTTTCTTCCTCGCTATATCCTTATTTTCTCATGCTTCATTATGTAACAACAAAATAGTCATTTAGACTGTATAATGTTCCTGATATTCAGTCACTGAAATACTTAGCCACCAGTGTTGCAACTAAAGTCTCAAATGTTGATAGACCGCTGTATACAATTTTTACACATTGCTTGCACATGTGAATTAATAAAATAAGTTTCCCAACATTCTAACGATGCTATCTATCTAATGTAATGGATATGACCTGATTGTAGGCCCACGTGTTTCCTTTCTAATCAGCCATAACCATGGCTGAAGGCATATTTTCACAAGGCAGTCCATCTTTAGCGGGACTGAATTTTGCTAAAACATCATGAGGTGCATTTAAGACACTGAAGTGACAACAAAATCTAAAAAAAGCCTGCTAGAACAGCCTTACGACAAGCTGCGAAACTGACTGGAAACCACTGAGCAGCTCTGACATCCTGACAGTGCTCCGTTCTGATATTGTCAGTTGGTGATGCTGAATACATCTGCTGTTATTATTCATAAGTGTTATAATTTGTGTTAAATGAACTTTCCCTCACCCTCTCGCATGTGCTTCTGCATCGCTTCGTGTTTTTCTGTTATCCATAATGCTTTTTGACAACCTGCAGAGTTGAGGCATGAACATGCCTGCAGTCAGCTGTGAGTTTAGGTGCAGACAGAGAACAAACAAGGATGAGACTAAAGTCAGAATAGATACTTATTGTTAGCAGGTATTATACAACCCTGTCTCTAAAAAATACATTTAGGTTTTTGTGGGTATTGTCACTGCTGGATGGACAGGAACAAACATTTTCTAAAAGATATACAGTGTATGATTGATTGCAAACTAGCTCAGATTAAAGAAATACTGTGACAAGATGTAAGAGAAATAATGAGCTTATTTAGCAGTGTTAAAATGTTGTTATCTAAATATAAGTACTGGTTTTTTGCCCCCTGTTTCTCAAGTTTTTTTAAACATAGAAATAATATTAAAAAAATACTACAGGTAATTTTTTGTTAGTAATGGCTTCCATGTCAATGATCTAGAAAACATAAATGCCTTATAACACAACATAACACTCCCTTCGTTATCGTTGACTTTTTTTGTTCAGTTAACTGTCATCTGTGAGAAGTGAGCTTCTACTGCATTTACTTCAATTTCAGAAATGAATTGTGAATGCATGCTGCAGGGAGAGGGGAGACCTACCACAGCGCTGCTACCTCTGATCTCATTACATAGACCACTATCCCAGCATGTGATAACTTAATGACCATGCTCCATCCCAGACACATCAAAAACACTACTTTTAACCACAGAAGACTTCTTTGAACCAGCATGGCACAGGATGGTACAATAGTCCTTATGAGGACAAAGAGATGAGTCCCATAGCAATTACACTCGCCTTTGCCGCTGCTCTGTTGTTGCTGGCTCTGTGTCCTGGTGTCACTTTGTCTTTGTCCCCCTTACTCCAAAATACTCAGCGTTTGCCTTTTCTCACTGCTCTTCACCACTGCGCACATCTGGCTCTTTTCCCCTTGCCCCCTATAACCTTGTTTCTCTTTGATCATCTTGCATTCACTTAAACAACTTAACAAAAGGTCTTTGGGAACTTATGTTGGTTGCAGGTATGAATGAATGTCAGATTGAAAATAAAAAAATTTTCCACAATTGCCAAGACACATTTCTGGAAATCTCCCACCCTTTTCTCAGAACTATGAACTATGTTGGTACAGATTATGGGCTCTATCTTGCACTGAGCGCAATTGACTTTGTACACTGGCGCTTGTATAATTCCTATTTTGCACTCGACGCACATTGGAATTTTCCCTCCACCGACGCACGTCCTTAAATTAGGGAATGAACTTGCGTTCCGGGGGGCGGTTCATCAACATCGCCACCCGGTCAGGACGGGCATTAATACTTTGCCGCATCCCAGACAGCTCCCGCTACAGCATGTCAAACCCGGTTTGCTGCAGGAACGGGTGGTCCTCCGGCATGTAGCGGGTCTGGATCCTCTGCTCCTTGGTGTTTGCGCCGCTCCCTCCTCAGCTGGCCCTTGCGCACTGCTCGGCCCGGGCACACTGCTCCCGAGGCCAGGGTCTTCTTCCTGCGAAGCTACGTTACATTGTTTGGATTTATTGTATGGCTGTGTTACATTTATTTCATGTCAATAATGTCACTTCTCGGTCTTTTACGGCCCTGACGAGAACGTCGGTCTCCTCGGCTGTGAACCGCTCCTGGCGTGCGCCTGGCCAATCCGCTGTTATAATAGCAATCCGCCATGGAACAAGCGCGCCTGCTTTTAAAGGGAATGTGAGATGACGCTCTGATTGGTTTATTGCACGTTACGCCCAAACCACACCTATGAGTAATGTAGCTACTTCAGACCAACCCATTTTAGATTTATGCCGGGCGCAAGAGTAATTGCAACAGCGCCAGATCCGCCCACAAAGCTACTTGCGTTTTGCGTTTGATACTTGCGTTTCAGATCGGCAAGATAGGGCCCAATGACGTTAAAAAGGATCAGGAAAGACCCCTTCAATCCCTCCCACGGAACTCTTCACCCTGCCTGCTGCAGTGTGATACCAGAGCATCCGGACAAGATCCTCCAGACTTATCAACAGCTTCTTTCCCCAGGCTGTCAGACTCAACACCCTACTGCCCCCATAACACTCCACATAACGAGCAAAGACCCACGTTTTTAAAAAGCATTGGTAAAAGCACATCGGTGAACCAGGAAGTGTGGTGCAGCACTACCTCGCCATTATCCCGCCGTCACAAGGTCTACAAATTACATGGCCGATGCAGGGTTTCAGTTGCAAATATTTAAGTATCTGCAGGATTTATCAAGCAGTCCTTAGTCTGACAAATCTGAAATGGTCTTACCTGCTGCCGCTCACTTTCTGTAATGCATTAGGTAGGTTCAGTCAGACAAAGACTACTTCTGACAGCTTGGTTTTTCCTATGTTATTTTTTAAAATTGGCTCTAAATCTACCTCTAGAAAGGTTTTGTCTCTTAAATTTTGTATTTTAAAAAACCTGCAGATGTCCTGAGTCGAGACCTGAATAATTCGTAGACCTTGATCTCACGATTGCTCTCCTTTTTTTTCTTCATATTTCCAGGCTGTTTCTTCTTTCTGTGGCATTGTATTGTAAAAGCATAATTCCTAGTAAACTTCTTACACTGAATCCCATCCCAAGACCAGTATATTTCACTTGTATATATGAGGTACATACATAAGTTATTGTTCATTACATAGCTTACAAAAATATTCAAAGTGCATTAATCTTTAGTTAATTTATACACTTTTATTACCTATGGACTGCTATATAGACGAGCAGACCAACTGCATAGAGCTTTGCCTAATTAAGTGCATACTGTGAGAGTGCTGTATATAAAGTTGAGTGGTTCCCTGACATTTCACAAGAATGAATTAATCTTTGCTCAATGCGCAGCCAGCAGATAGTAAACCCGAGCCATAGTAACAAACCCATGCAAAACAGCTTCTATGCTAACGAGGCCACAGATCGGCCATCTTGCTTTCCTTTTTTTGTGCAAGATGCATTGTTTTCTAAACCTAATCTTCCTTTTCCGTAAAACGAAAAAAGCAAAACAAAAAATCATCCACAACAGATTGTCTAGGTCTTGGTTCTATAATGATGACTCTCCATGCTGTGTGACTAATATGTAAGCTTCTGTAATCTCCCAGTTTAAATGCACTTCCCCTCTGTGTATCTGTGTGTTCAACATGTACAGTACGAGGAGGGGAGAGGAGAAAGGAAAGGAAGAGCTGTGGGGTTAGAGTTTACATGTATCCGTGTAGTTAAAAGAGAAGGAATGTACCCTAAGTGATAATGCAGGCTGCTGCCAAGACAATGACATTAACACCCAGACCTTATCAAGGACACTGTCAGCATCTGTCTCTCTCTCTCTCACACACACACACACAGACACACACATACACGCAGACACTAAAATGTACACACATCCAGGGAGGGATAGGCTGAGAGACAGGGAGAGAAAGACAGAGAGGAGGAGGAGGGCATTATCTTGATGAAACAGTGCTTGATACAGTGGCCCGAGCCAAACTGAACACAGCTCTGCTTTCTTTTAATGGAGATTACACAGTCAAGGTCCAGCCTGAGCTCATCTTGTTTAACACTGCATACAAGTACATCACTGTGAGTGTGTGTGTGTGTGTGTGTGCGTGTGTTTGGGACAGTGTTCCTGATCTAATATGCTGCTAGCTCCTCACACAATCAGCCATCATTACTACACAACCTTTTGACCCCTGACCTGGCAGCCAATCAAATCTGCCAACCTTTGCCGACCAATGAGAGCACACATCGGTGAACCAGGAAGTGTGGTGCAGCACTACCTCGCCATTATCCCGCCGTCACAAGGTCTACAAATTACATGGCCGATGCAGGGTTTCAGTTGCAAATATTGAAGTATCTGCAGGATTTATCAAGCAGTCCTTAGTCTGACAAATCTGAAATGGTCTTACCTGCTGCCGCTCACTTTCTGTAATGCATTAGGTAGGTTCAGTCAGACAAAGACTACTTCTGACAGCTTGGTTTTTCCTATGTTATTTTTTAAAATTGGCACTAAATCTACCTCTAGAAAGGTTTTGTCTCTTAAATTTTGTATTTTAAAAAACCTGCAGATGTCCTGAGTCGAGACCTGAATAATTCGTAGACCTTGATCTCACGATTGCTCTCCTTTTTTTTCTTCATATTTCCAGGCTTTTTCTTCTTTCTGTGGCATTGTATAGGTTCAGATTATACATACCTCCTTGTCTACATATTTTCTTGCCCGGTTTCCTGGCACATTCCTTGGATATTCTTTTGACTGTAAAATGAATAAAAGACTAAAGAATAACATGGAGCCCCTGGACGCGCAACGCACACAGGAGCTGGCATGCACGCACACACATACACACACACACGCACGCAAAGCTGATTGACTGAAAAAGAGGGAAGAGGGGATACATAAAGACAGAGGGAAAGAATGAATCACACCAGCTCAATCAGCGTAGTATTCAGTCTACCAGTCGGCCAGCCAGTCGTTCAACCAGTCAGCCAAATCAATCGGTGATGATCTTGACAACGACTGTCTTGTTTAATGAACTGTAGCCATTGTAGCCGAGCACAATAGGCTATGATGAGCTATAGACACGAGGGAGGGGAAGAGGAGGGAGTTCGCAGAGGAGGGCAAATAAGGTGATGAGGAGGAAAAGGAGGGGGTGGATGAAGGAAGAGGGAGTCAGAGGATCAACAGGGTGGTGCAGGAGGAGGATAGGCTGGAAGGGATGGAAAATGGAAGATTGAGGCAGCTATGGAGTGGAATGAAGAGAATTTGCTTCACACACACACACACACACACACACACACACATACACACACACACACGCTTACTGTTCTCATTCACACACTCATGTTACTATAAGCAGTGTCATGCACATTAAACATGCACAATGTCATGCTTTCCCTCTACTGAGACGGACAGACAGACAGAGACTGAAATGCACTCTCACATAGGTAAAACACACCCCAACAAAATACTCTTCCTGTGGGTTAATTACCCACCCCGCCCCGCCCCCTGCAGTCACCACAATCATCCTGCCCCGAGCCCGCAGGCTAACTCACCATCCTCAGTGGGGACATAGATGTTAAGATAGAGGCAGTCCTCGCTCTGGTCCTGGACGTATGTGGACACCACATCAATGCTGTTGGTGAACCACACTGGCAGCATCACATCTGGCAGGCGGCCCTCCACGATGCTCTGAGGGCACACAGGGGCAAAGTGTGTGGCGTTGCGGATCTCCGGCCACGACGCTGGTGGCTCAGGCGGCTGGAAGCGGCGCTCACCAGTGGGCGGGGCGGCATATGGGACGCCCAAAAACTGCACGACAGGACCCAGGATCTCATTGTTGAGCTCCTTCTTGACGCCACGCAGCTTGCCGTAGGTGGTGGTGACCACTGGGTCATTCTCGTCGAGTTTCTGGGCCGACACGGCGGCCGGAGAGGCCTGCAGCAGCAGTAGCAGCAGCAGCCATATTAGAGAGGACACCCACCGACCGGCGCTTAAGGAACCTTCAAGCCCTACGTATCCCATCATCCTGCTCCCGCTCTTGGCAGTCTGAAGTAGTCGACACCCAGTCCTCGAATGGTGCCTCCACTGGGACATAGTTGCAACTCCTTGCTTTCAACTTCTTTACTTCCTCTCTTGTCCTTTCAGAGTAAAAAAATCCTTACTTTAAATCTCTCACTTACGCCATGCAGATGCAAACACAACCACACAGTCACACTAAAATCACATTCACTCACAGGCATAAGCAAGGGGGTAACTCCGGAGCAGACAGGGGGTCGTGGTTGCTAATGATCCTTTTTAAAATCCAAGCAGTGCAAACCATCCGGTGGAAATGTAGCAGCCATCAGTTTTCTCAAGTTTGATAAATGGAAATTTGAGAAATATTCCTCACAATATGGAAAATATTCCTCAAAAAGGTCCTCTCAACAACCACTGTAATTAAGACGAAACCACTAAAAAGACCATCTTTAAGCTCCACTTTTCAGAAGGTAGACAAGCCAGTCAGTGATGAGGGTTTTCATCGTTTTAAGGTGAGTCGACTGCCATGTACAGCAGCGGAAGCAGGAGTAGTGGTGCAGTGGTTCTTAGTGGTTATCCTCAAAGTAGTTTGGTCGAATCCGAAGTCTGTCCCCTGCAACACAGAAAGAAAGCAACAATTAGCATCCAAATGAAGAGAAGTAATAATAATCAAAATTGTCTTGCCTCCTGCAAGACATCAAAAGATCAACAACAAGCAGAAGGGCCATTTCATTTGTTATACCCATATGCAGTTAAAGAGGAACTTAACATCAATTTATGGCACACGACAGTAGGTAATATTACTCAACAGCTTAACAAGCAAGGTGTCCATCACTATACGTGATGACAGATGTTTCCTGGTTATGGTGAAGTGTGACAGCTTTTTTCTACCGTTTAATTTTATACCCTACCCTTAATGCAGAGTGCCCTCCAGAGCCACTCTGTGCTTTAGTGAGTGGGTTTTTTTGGAGAGTCAGAATGCACACCAGCAGCAGCAATAAGACTTGCAGTATTGAGGCACAAGCGTTCAGAATAAAAGTGGATATTGAGACAGGTTTTTAAATGCCAATGCTGAGTACCAACGGAGGATGTTGTTTGCCCTTTATGTAGCAAAGCAGACAGTCAAGTTGTGGAGGTCAAGGTCGGCGATGGGTGCTGTCAGACTTACAGGCAGGAGACTGGGGTTTGTCGCCAGTAACCAATTCTCCTTAAACACAGGGGTCTCAAACTCAAATTGGCTTTGGGCCACTGCTGGTATTATATCATAGGACGGCCACTATAATGTTCAAGTACAATGAGAGAGCACAATATTTCTGAGAATGTTTCTATTACTAACATCATACCCAACAAAAGTACAAACAGCAGTTTCTGTACATTAGTATATCATTATTATATCATATTTGTTGTTTGCAGCCAAACAGTTAATGAAGGTCTGACACCTGCTCTGTTCTTATGATCCCTTTCGACACATTTGCAGTCACCTTTGAGCTTTGCCATTATTTGCCAAAATACATTATTTTAATTGTATATGCAGGGCTAGTTCAAATTGATATGAAACAACTAGAAAGAATTATGAGAAAAAATAATCTTGCAGGTCAGATGGTTAGTTACCATGTGCAAATACTGTAGAAAGTAATAGGTTCACTATTAGTCCAGTATTAGTGTCCGTCAGTCGGGTTGCAGTATATGTCTGCTGCGGGACCTACACAAGGGGTCACACCAAAGTTTTTCCTAAACAGGAAATAATCTGCTCAAAATTCATCCAAATCACTCATTTTATGCAGTTACCAAGTTCACTATTTGTGTTAATCGCACAGTTTTAAACATAACATGAAATATCCATAAAATATGTCACTGAGTCAGTTCGTCAATTTACTAAATGATAGAAAAGGGGTCCCTCAAGAAAACAGGTTGGGAACCACTGCAATATTTAATAGTATCTTGGATAGTGCAAGTTGGGAGGAGTTTGACATGTGATGTCTGCATTAACAATCAAAGGTGATCTCTTCACTCCTTTCCTTGTAGAGTTACATTTTATATGACATTGTGAGAATAAGGTATTAGTCATGAGGAGTAGTTTGGTATATAATATAATTTAGAGAAATATGAATATGTTTCTGAAAGATTTGGGCCAGACGTCTTGGGGGAAACACACATCCTCTATGTCAAATAAGTCTGATTGGCAGTTTCATGTATAATAATGTCACGCTAGTTAATTTCTGTGTGCTGCAGCCTGGCCCTTCTCCCAGCTCCACATTATTTGTTGTCAGCCTCTAGCAAGCTACAGCAGGGGAGTGGGCACTGATGTAAATTTCCTTGGTTCAGCCACCTTTGGACCAGTGGGATCAAGAAAAATATGTCAAGAAATCAGTGCTTAAACATAGCCTGTGCACAAAGAAAACAAGCTGGAGCTCAAAGTAAAAATCAGTGTAGAATGTTTTGAGTTGAGTCATTTTTCCCTGCTGCGCGGGGTGTGTCCAGACATTTTTGACTGGGTTGGCACAAGTGACTGACTTGTGGGATGCAGGGGTGGCAGAAGTCAACACTGTTTATGGCAAAAATAACACATTCATACCACATGCAAATTACTTTGCCTAAAACTGCATAGGATCAGCATCAAGTGGGCATGTCTGCAAATGGGAGACTTGTCAGAGATCAAGGTATCCCTGTGAAAATGGCCATGCCAGTTTTTCCATCGCCAAAATTTTGCCTAACTTTGGAGTGTTATTTTGCTAAATGCTAACATAACATGGTAACAGTTGATGTGTTAGGTCATTTAGGTTCATATGACAATAGTATCCTCACTCTAGCATTAAATCTGAAACCCACTACAGCCTCTGAAAGATGTGCAGAGTGGAAGTTTAGAGTGGGAGAGGTATGGTCATATTTCCAGTGCCACCCCAGGAAATGCCCCTGCCTACTGCACAGCTACGCCAGATCTTAGGGGTCCCCCACTTTCCAAATCCCACTGCAGCCCCTGGATGCAAGATGACACAGCCCATGTTACACTATTGTTGTTCTTAATGGAAGACACAAAGAATATTAATTCTTCATGTCATGCTAAATTCTTGTGAGAGAACAGAAAAAATCTTTCAAAAATAGGTCTTTTCCCCCCCTCATTCAGGGCTCCATACTAGGGAACTATTAACTTTGTTTAATAAGCCACTATTTACGCAAGGCAGGCCAACTATTATGCAATAAATATATCAATTAAGGGAAGGAACCTTTACATCTGTTTTAAAATTTTAAAACGTATGTTCAGGGAACAAAATGCACATGGTAAAACATAAAATATACAGAGGGAGGTAAGTGAAAAAAACATCTGCTGAGACTAGGAAGCAACTGAACTGAAATAAATCCAAATTCATTTCTCGCCTTAAAGAACCAGACAGGAGATATTTTCAGGAGGAAATCTACTGTATATGTATGTGTGTGTGTGTGTGTGTGTGTGTGTGTGTGTGTGTGTGTGTGTGTGTGTGTGTGTGTGTGTGAGAGTGTGTGTATGTATGTGTGATGTAAAACATGAAGGCTTGTCATCCCCAGTATGTGTTTTTTCTTCGTATTTTTTTTATTTTTCTTCACACTGCTTAGGAGTCAATGTTCCACCTGGATGAGCTCACCTTCAGATTTCATACACTGAGGAAATCCTATTTAGCTGTGCGCACACACACACACACACACACACACACACACACACTGACACACACAGACATGACAAGTTGTCTAGTTGGCTAACAAAAACACACTATTTTCGCACACAAACACCTCAACGAGCTGAGACACCTTAAGGGGAATATGACGTGATTACAATATTCGCACACACACGCACGCTTCGGGCCAGACATGGCTCACGTTTATATGTGAAAATACACACCCTTATTCTCCTCACAGTAATACACACATCCCAGACACTAAGATGGAAAATGATTGGCAGGCAGGCATGAAACAACAAGACATGCAGACGTTAACAGCATCAACAGCAGGAGAACCATAATGGGAAGGAAAGGAGAACAAAGACTGGAGCAGATATAGATCAAACCGGAGTGTGTGATATACAGACAAGAAGCTTCCACTTCCACTTTCTATGTGTGTGTGTATGAGAGTGTTTGATCATGGATAATTTAGCAAGCTCCACAAGCAAACTAGAGGTAATTAGAGAAACATGATAAGAACAAGGAAAAGTTAGAACCTGAAATTAAGATATGAGTTAATGTATCAGTCAAACACACACACACACCAAGAAATACAAGGCAACTAATCTAATTGGTGCCCATTGAGGGTGTCTGCAGAGTATTTCCAATTATTTCATTGTTTGATTCAGTTACTAAAATCTCTCAAAACCAGTGGTTATCATACTTCTGCAATCCCATTTAAATAAAACTTTTGCTGACTCACAACAACCCAGTCTCCTAGAAATTATATTTATACATATACAGTGACATAACATTACGATAATTTCTGCCTGATTTCTGCTCAGAGACAACATTTTTATGTGTGAATGAACCGCTAATGTATTGTAGACATATGGACGTGATCAGGGTGGTTGGCAGCCATGAAAAGGACACAACTTTGAGACTTGAGACTTAAGACCTGGGTTCGCTCCCTCAGTCCTGTGTGTATAGGTTTTGTTCAATTTAGGAAAAGATTAACCTTGCTAGGCAGCTGGACTTGCCAGCCACAATGGTTGGAACAATCAGCGTCCTATGAAGAACTACTGCTAGTGACCGAAGTTACTGTTTGCAACAATGCTGAAGAGGTTAGTGTAGATGTTGCTGCCATCAGAACTGGAGAGTATTTCTTCATTGAAAGAAGAGGCAATGTTTTCGCTCTTCTCCCGACAGGCTTCACTAAGAGTTTGACAACGTAATATTGTTTATTGATCTGTTTGGTTGAGGGTCGCAGGTGATACACTGTGATCGTTATCACCGGACAGTCACCGGACAAGTATATTTTGTTTCAAAACAGTTTCCGTGCAGTCAGGTTAGGAAAAGATCATAGCATTACAAGTTTAAGATGCGATGCATCGAGCTTCAGGTCACGACAGACCTTTTCTGTATTAAACAAAGTGCAAAACCGCAAGCTCTCCTGTACTTCAAGTGCTGTGAGTGTATAAACATATCCAAAAAAAGTGTTGTATAAAGTGAGGGTCACTATAAGCGGATATTAATTAATAGAAAAAGAGAGCTGGCATTCCGTTTCTTTAAAACATATTTGCTGCTGCAAATGAAATTAGATGTATTTCAATGACTTCAGAGGCTTTCAGTTTCAGTATTTTTCATTATCTTATTTGACACTTATTTCACCATGAAGGGCACAGTGTATATTAACAATGTTTCTTAACCTCATATAAGCAGCCAGGAATATAATCATACAGCTGTATGATTCTGGTTGTAACTAGCCTACTTCTTGTTCTTGTAAGCTACAAGTATGGCATCTACTTTTTATCGAATCCAAAATATGTGCCATTGCCCAACCTTAATCAGCACTTTTTTAAAATAAATATTTTTTAAATTTTGATCGCTGTACAACTGGCAAAACCATGAGCCTGAAAGCCTGCTGTGTTACTGAGACACACGTCAGCAGCAGTTATTGCACATTCAATGGGGCTTTTAA